TTTTCATCTAACTTTTTTTTTTTTTTCCCATAAAAAGCCTGTACACTATGATTTCTAAAAGTATTTTCTGGGCTAGGGTCTATTTGACTCTTTTGGTCGTTTGATTGGCTCTTTACCCTCTGAAAAACTGTAAATCTAGGGAGAACATTGTGAAAAAGGTTGTTTATTCATTAGTATTAGACAATTAATTATTGACACTGGTTGGGAGGAAAAACACCTCAGAATTAAGCACTACAAAAAGAACATTGTCTCTATCCCTTTACTATAAACTCATACAATGTCTTTATAATGAGCTAAACATTATACATGCATACTCATAATCCAGAAACTCTGCTTCTTGCTACAGCACCCCAAATATATACACATGAAGAAAATTCACATCTGGCATATATGTTTAAACAGGGTTTTTTAGGAAGTCTCTGGAATCCTGTGGAATACATGCTTGAAGATAATTTCACCACGGAACAAAGCACTGCCAGCTCAGAGCTGAAATGTAGCCTGGGACACTGAAGCTCTGCAATGGGAGTGTCTTTATAGGAAACAGAAAAGCCCTCAAAACCCTCCAGTCTTCCCTTCCTGATACCAGAAGGTGCAGGTATTTTCCTGGGGTGATGTGTTCTTGTGGAGCCTGGAAGCCAGGCTGATTTCCACCCCTGGAAACAGCAGTCACAAGATTGAAGGAATTTTTAACAGCTTGCCTACAGCATCACAGGAGACAATTTAACCAAGGTTACAGAAGATTACCTCCTTAGAAAAAAATAAACAAAACCCCTTCAGTCTTTTAATAAGCTCCTTTATTTAGGGTTTTACACTTTCCTCTTTGTCATATCTGAAACTGAATCTACAAAGAGTGTAGATGAATTTTGAAATGTGATAATTTAAATCATGGTATTGGCTGACATCTAGTACCGCAGAGAAGGCAGAGGAAAAACAAACATCAAAAATAACTATTATTTCACCAAGGCAGAACTCTTTTTAGGTCATTAATGTCATGTTATTTCCCTTCTCTTCTTAACATTTCTGCCAAGGAAAGTATTAATATTAATTAAGTTTCTATTTAGGCCTTTCATTAGATGAAGTAAATATAAGGAAATGTTTTCTTCAGTTCTGTTTTATGCCAACTTATTTTTCTTCTTTTGTAAATGTCACTTTTCTCTTTAATAACTATAAATCTTTTACAAATATTACAGAGTGATTAGAAATGGGAAGTAGCTGTATGTAGCATATTATTACATTTTTTTCTTGGAAGACATATTGAACTGAGTTCTAACTTTTGTCCAGAGTATTCTGTGGTAATGACAAGATATAATGCATTTTTTTTGTTATTAATTATATACATGGATGTATGCCACAAAACTTGATATAACTTAAGGTAGATTAAAGAAAAAAGCAGAGAGTTCTCATTACTTCTGTACTGCTTAATAAAACTTAATAAGAGAAAAAAGAAACTTCATCAAATTACATTTTTCAGTATGATGTGAAAATGTCTTCTTTAATATTATATGATTAGTATAAGATGCTCAAGCAGATCTAACAAACATTTATATGAGATTATAATTTAATACTTTTATTTAGAAGCAAATAAAGATTTTTTTTTTCCTTAAAATCTGAAGAAACTGCCTCAGGCTTTCTGCAATTGACCTCTTTGCTTTGATGGCAATTCTTAGCAAACTCCAAGAGTCTGAGTAAGAGTGATATTTAAAAGAGTTATGATAACTCTTGTTGAGCTGATTAAGAACCAGTAAAATGATAGATCTGAAATCTAGATGTGATTGTATAATCCTCCTTAGTGGAAGATCCTTCTAGGGAGGCCTTGAAAGGACCATTTTCCAAAAGTCCTGTAGAGGATTTACAGGCAAGTAGGAAACTATTGCTAATAATATTTACAAAAGGAATAAGACCAGTAAATTATGTAATTACCATGCAGACATGGTGGTCACAATGTGACAGCAAGACCAGAAATCCCCAAAATAATATTTTTTACTACAATAGTGTTATCACTACTGTATATTCAGAATGTATATGGCATTTGGACAGTGATGGAGGAAAGAGAGAATAGGAGGAATGGTGATGATCTGCCTTCACTGCAGTCCAGGAACACTGGATAAAAGGGATACTCAAAAAGAAGAGGTGTTCCAGAAAAGTAGTCCCCACAATTATTTAAAAGAATAAATCTTACAGAGTAAAAACCTTGCCATGAGTTTGGTCTGGTTTTTTTATCAATAGGAAACCTGAGAAGCCTCTTGATCAAAGCATCCAGATGCATTCCCAGAGGAAGTCAGTGGCTACAAGATGGTTCTTTTGTCTGGGAATGATAGGCCATAGCAAGAACCAATGGATGTAATTTGAAGTAAGAAAAACCAAATGAGAAAAACCCCATATTGAATAAACAGTGCAAGTGTTAAGGCCTTGGAATATACCACCAAGATGGACAAGTATTAAGACAGGACCATCTCTTGTTGCATTCAGATGAAGATCAGGAATTTCCCAAAAGACACACCTTTACTGGGTGTGAAAGGTTTATGCAATATCAGATGGGTAGGTTGATTGATCCACGTAATTCATAAGTCCTTAAAATTCAGAACCACTCAGTGTCCATTTCCAAAATTTTCCAGAGGAAAAGGCAAAGTTCAATATAAGATTTAGACCCTTTTATTTCATGCAGCTGGTGCCCTCTATAAGAGTCCAGTGTGGAGTCTTGGTTTTCTGTAAAGTGCAGAGGGAGAATTTGTCTCCTTGAGTTGAACAGAAACACCAAACCTTTTCTATGGAAGCAAGAGAGGTTCCCTTCTGTTAAGCATCTCTATTGTCAGGGCATCACACAGATATCATGAGATCCAGGTCACAGCACCCACAAAGAAGGAACACAATCAAAATATCTTTCTTTTTACTAAATTTTAATTATTCTTGATCATATCACTCTCATCTTTTTAGGCAAAATCTGTTTAATTTCTGCAGTGGTTCTTCCTGTGTCTTCCACCTTTCTGAGGATTGTTCTAGACCAGTGGATTAGTCTAATCAATGATGTGTTAGAAAGAGAAGTAAATTCCCAGACTAGGAAAGGAAATGCATGAAGGAGCCTAGGTCTGGAATTTAGTGGCTGGGACATTCGCTTGAGAGGTGATTGTCCTGAAAATGATGTTTTGTAGACACACATGTTCTTTCATCCCAAATTACAGATTTCTGGATAAGAAATTCTTGGCTATGTAAGACAGAATGAGATATTTATTACTGTTTCTTTCAAATAAACTCACCTATATTTTTGGGAGACCTACTACTGTGTAGCATATTCAATGTTCTCCATGAAGATTTATGAATTTAGAACTGCAAGAGAAAGATTTCTAGAAGGTTTAAGTAAGAGATGCATGAAAAGCCACGGAGAAGGGAAAAATGTCAAGGCATTTGAAGAAGCAACATTTTCAGTTCTCATGAATTAAAAAAAATAAAAAACAAAAAAACAAGCAGGAAGTTGACTTCATGGTTAAGTGGCCAGTGAAGGAGGATCCACTGGATTAGACTTTTAAATGTAAATGACTTCTTTGTTCCTAACCCCTTTACTGAATATAGTCATTCTATACAAAACCACTATTGGTTAAATATAGCTTATGGAGTGATTACAAAATATGGTTAATGATCATGAATGCTAGCCAAAATTGACGTGTAAAGCAAGGCAATAAAAGCATTTTATATACATAGTCTTCCTAAAATATTTCTGCAACATACATATATTTTATTCGCTGTAAAATATGTTTCTTCAGTTCAAGTACCTATTTTTGTCAAGCCATACAAAAGCAGACATTACTCCTATAGGCTTTCTAAAAGACAGGACTGAGGTAATTCTTTCACCTGGCTTGGTTTACAATGTAGATCAGACCTAATGGGGGCTTTTTGTTTGCAAAGCAAATATGGTAGTTTGCATTTACTAATTTCCCCTGCCAAGGCAATGAGTTATGGCATCACTATGTACAGGAGAAAACAGATTGCAATTTGAGGTAAAAATAGCTGAATCAAATTTTAATAATTATGGAAGTCTTGCCCTTTTTTAATGTACAAGCTGAAAGAAAATCACAAGGATCTTACTGATACCATGCAATACGTGTACAAATACCCCATAACCCCGATTCAGAAATGTATAAAAGCCAGTGAGGGGTGCAAATCTGTACATCAGACCAAGCCACTTTAGGTTCCCTTTATAGTAAATAGGTAACATGGTCTATGATATTCAGTGCAATTAACATTTTCCCACAGTATGTACCTACATTTGGCTGAATAAATGATAATATAAACTCCATGAAATTTACCTCATTGCCTCCTCTTAGAAACCTTATTAGTCAGCTCAGATATTGACACCTAAAGACAGCCATATTAAATTAAATTTTGACCAAAGAAACATGAAAATAAAATACAAGCCTAGCAAAACTGAGCGTATTCTGCTTTACTTTTTTTCTGATCAGTGCCAATTAAGTAGCAACTAATTTTCCTGATGTAATAATTTCCTCTGCTGTGTTTAATTGATTTCATTGTTCAGTTAGATAGAATCCAGCCTAAAGACTGTAAACCCGTCTTGTAACTAACCACTGCAATGACTGTGGGAACTGACTAGATGATCTTAAATGAATCAGTCTTTTAACCTTCCTCACTTAGCAGAAGAAAAGACAAAATATACCTATGGTCTTTAAAAAAATAATAAAAAAAATCCAACAAAGATCCAAAATATGAAGCTTCCTTAGAAACTCTGGTAGGTGATCTGCTTTCAAAGCATCCTCTGTCCAGCACTAGAAAAGCCCAAAGTTCTGATGACAACCTCAGCTTCCACTTTTTATCAGACCTCATCATCTTTCATGTAACTTTGTCAGTGTCTTCCAGTATCAATTGCTATATAAAACCCCTGTGAGGAGAATCTGGATATATATTGTTCAAAGTGATCAGAGGGTATTTCCCAAACCTCCCAAACATGGAATTAATTTTGTTTTTCTGGAAATAGATTGTGTTTAACTCACATGTGCTAGTCGATCAAATCTGGCAAAGAGTTCGTTCAGCATTCGGACCAGCTCCTGGGCTGACAGAGTTGTGGAAAGGTTGGTGAATCCTTTAACATCTGCAAAAAGAATGCTGAAAAAGAAAACATAATAATATTTCAGTCTATTTCCTTTAATTACTGAATCTTTTAAGTTACCTTTTAGCATTTTACTAGTGGAAGGGTCATTTTATTACCTTTGAATTCACACTATCTTTGTTCTAGACTCCTGTGCATACCAGAGTACTGAATATAAATATTGAAGGAACTAAAAAAATACTACTAAGAGTGAGAAAATGTCTGGCCAAAAACTGGAGTCATGCAATTCAAATTTTTCAAATCATACAAGTCTCAAACCTGAAGAGTACAGACAAATTTGTGACAGTTGTGATGTATACCAGGCTAAGGCCAGTTTTATTTCATCTAATTTTAGGCATTTGACAGAAGTACCTGAGTTAGAACTATAGTGCTCTCTTTATGAGGTATGACTCTTTAATTGGATAATTCCTTTTTCATTCTATTGACTTTACAGGGAGCCCAGTGTGTCCATACTTTGAATTTAGGTGTATCAACTTGTGTGCCTGAAGTTGTGGTAGGATCTCCATTAACAAACTACTTGCAAACAGACTTCTAACCTGTTTGAACATCCGGTTATTTTTCTTGCCTTTTGGCTGCTCACAGTGCCTAGAATGATCACATGTGAATTTAGAGAAATATTAACACATACAAACTCTGTAGTGTGCAAGATATCACCCAAAACAAAGCATATAATAGCTCAGTAATTATTAGACAATGAAAATATTGGCTCCCTTATAAAGTAATGATGTATCATTCTGGGACAAACCTTGTTAACATTTAAAAGTCAACTAATAACTGGTGTTAGGATCTGCAGTACCAGAAGATTTTGTTTCACTTTAGCTGACGACTTGTGGTGAACAAGATCACAATTTGACAGCATCTGAGAATTACTAATGTAATTGATAAGAAATACAGTAATGATCAGGTTGATTACTGATAACACATCTTCAAATCTATGGACTGGTAAAGGTTTGGGTGAAGTTTAAACAAGATGCTCACAAACTTGGTAAGATTTTTACCAGTGAGAAGTAATAAAAGAAAAGTACCAAGATACAGGAGAGGAATGAATGGTAATAATAGACTAAGTTTATAAAAACAAGATTTTCAAACTAGTAGTTTCTACACTTTTAATTTTCAAACCAATAAAAATTTCTAACTGGATACTACTTTTAAGGATTAATGCAGCATTGGTTTTGGTAGTGTTCAGTATTGAACATTTAGGAAACAAGGTGAATGAAACCTAGTTTTGAAAAGATCTAGTTTCAGGCAGCATGCATAGAAGCCAACCAGTATCTGCATTTTAAACCATGCACAATCTTAATTTCAAATCTCTTTCAAGTATAAAATATGTTTTGACTTCTCACCCTGTCTACAACCCTTTTCGATTTAAACAAAAGGGCCATCTTCTCCATATTTTGATTCTTCTACAGGTACACTTACTCTGACTATGAAAAAGGTTAATGGAAGACATTTTAATTTAATGCAACTCAAACCTTTATGAGGGTCCTTGATATTTTCAATCAGAAAGCCACAGAAGCAGCAGATAATCAATTTATTGTTCTGCAGAAGTGCAAATTATTTTTATTGAACTTGTCCAGACAAAGTTATATTTTGGTTTCACTGAAAGGCAAAATACATTCTTCCCACACAATCTATCTACCATCATATCCATGCTTGTTTTTCACTTCCTTCAATGATGATTTTTAAGATGGTCACTCAATAATTTATCCTTGTGTTTTGGGAAAGGCTTATGGAAAATGTTATTGGCTTAACAAAATATTCTGATTTTCGGGAAATGCAATAAAGTCAAAATTATGGAATGTCATGGAGTTGAAGTTGGTCATTCTGGTGTACAATCAGTGTGCATTAATTGATGGTGTAATTACCTTGAGTAGCAGCTCATACCATAATTATCACCCTTTGATAATTAACTTCAGGAAAGAAAAAATTTAGAGGAATAAAGAAAGGATATGGGATTAAGAAAATAATAATAAGACTGATTAAATGAAAATAGCTATAAAGCAGAGAAACTATATAACAGGTCACCATCTTTGAGAAAATCTTACAAGTCTCCATCTCATTCTTCAGTGTGTGGAGTGAACCATCAGGTTATGGCAAAATATGTATCCCCATGTAAGCAGGGGTCCCCTTTCTGTGCAATCCTAACCACTTGAGTGAACTGAGCATGAAAAAGTGAAAAAAAAGTGAGAAAAAGGCACAAAAGGTCCAGACTGAGTGTTTAGTTCAAATGGGTCTTTCCATTGCCATGGCATCCAGCTATCCTGATAAGTAAAAGAAGGCATCAAAATCCTTCTCTGCTCAATTAAAAAGAGTACACTAATGTTCTAATTTCTGAATGAATAAGGCAACAGAAGAGAAACCATCAGACAAGAGTAATTTAGCAACATCTGAGACCTTAGATATTACAGAAAGGCTACTCCACCCACCTGACATTCTCATAGCGATGAATGTAGATCTTATGGAACTGGTGCTGCAGATGTTCATCTTCTACGTTGGTCATATCATTTATCATTTCCAGGACTACAAACCGTGGTAGCACAGAGAGCACCAGCCGTTCCTAACATGAAGAGGAAAGCAAAGTGTCAGTATCAGTCTGAACTGGTATTTCACAATTCTCTGTTTAAAGAGCTGGATAACTGGTTATTTAAAATGTGACCCTCCTCTCTTAAAATTCTAGCTCAGGCCATTTGTGGTAATTTACTTTATCAGCTTGAGTCCAGGACACCTCTGGTTTAGGTAAGGAAGAATAAAATGAGCTCACATGCAGCCATTCAAACTGGTCCTCTCGACTAGGAAGACTGAAGAAAATATTCAATATTTTTCATTAGTTTTGTCTGTATTTCAAGAACACTCTGGAAGAGTAAACATTTGAGACATATGTTTATATACATACACATGCTTATTTATAATATATATCCTTAATGTATATTAGTAGAGTATCCATGCATATTAGTTTATTATTTGTGTGCAAACACAGTGTATCAGTATATATTAATGTACATATAATTCCAGTGTTAGTGTATAAGCAGATATATATATACACACAAGTGCTGTTTCCAACCCTGTCATAATATAATTAACTCCGGAATTTTCACAGAATTTCACCAAATATTCTGAGTTGGAAGGGACCCACAGGGATCTTAAGTGGCCAATATGGGGATTGAACCTTCATTCATGGTTATTAGCACCTTGCTCTAACTAACTATATCTTAGTGCAGCCAGAAAAGCCCTCAAAAATTAATCAAATTCTTTAATGAAAGCCCCAGATCATCCCCTAAGAGAATTTAGACTGGCTTCAGTGGCTCATCAGTTTAAAGGCTTTCACAGATTTTGCAAGTATCCAACCCAAATCTGTTTCTCTGCAAATTAAACCTACTTTTTTATCCTTTCAAATTGGGCATGGATAACTATTGATTGCTGCTTTCTCTGTAATAATCCTACTGTACTAAAATAGTGTTATTGTGTCCTCTTGCCCTCAGTCTCCCTTTTTTTTTCAGATTAGAAAGCTTTGTATATATATTACTCCCAATCACTCTGAAGCAAAGCTACAATTTTTTAATTTTCTTTTGCTTTACAGGATTCCAAATACTGAAATCTTATTGAACTAAAGAAGAGAATGTTAATTATGTAAGAAACTTATCACCAAATTTCAGACAAAATTTTGGGGAATAGGATATATCTAGAGGAAACCATATCCAAACTTCCAAATTAGGCACATACGTAGACTAGAGAGCAGACAGATGAATAAAATCCTCTCTCCTCTCCTCCTCTCCTCTCCTCTCCTCTCCTCTCCTCTCCTCTCCTCAGTCTTTTCTGTCAAAGAAATTGATGTTGAATTTTTTTTTTAAGCAACTTGACATTAGGAGGACATCAAATAAACTCATAGTATACAGGCTATGAGTTACGTCCCTTCTCAAGAGCAAAAATTTGTTCAGAGAGAGCAAGAAAAAACAAAGAGGAATGATGGGTGGCATGAGAGAGACAAGCAAACCAATAATGAAAATAATTATTTTTATGCCAGCAGAATTCAATGTCATGGATGAAATGTTGCCAAAGATGAAACATATGAATAAATGAAGGAATCCCTCCCTAGCTTTCATAGAAGGTGATAGCATTACTAACTTGCAACTTTCACAGTGTAGATCATGAAAAATTCTTACTCTGAGCAGTCTTAGTCAGCAGTTAGTAAAAAAATCCTCAGCTCTGATGGAAACACGTTGTGGATAAACACCTCCATTTGTCTAGATGGCAGCCCCAGCTGAGGTGAACTCTGTGTTTGTTTAAGAGGGGCGAACACAGCTGCCAAAAGCTGCACTGGAGCACAGCAGTGTTTCACACTGCAGCACAGGTGTGTTACACCACTGCAGCACATGTTACACCCTCCTCTAAGAAGGCACTCCTTCCTGCATAACTGCTGACAGAATATGAGAGAACTGAGAATCTCCTAATATTTAATCTACCTATTCCACAAACCTTTGCTAAATCAAGACCTGCCTTTGTGAGGAAGATAAAAAATTATGCAAGTGATGGCTGATCTAGAGCAGGCTGTGAACTATAATGCAGTGAGATCATCTTTTATTCTGGGAAATAGCCAAGCTCAGACTTTCTATTTCCCCATACAGGGTGGTTCTATTTTAGCACATCTGCTTTGTCTTGGCTTTCTTCCACCTTTTCCACCTGGGAATTCTGCTATCCTTCATTCTTCTGATGTGTAAACACTGGATGTGATGCCAGTGATAGCAGGAAGCAAACCAGTCCCTCAGGATGTCCTTCATATTCCTGCTCACAGGAACACCTGGTCCTCAGGTAGCTTCACTCACAAGCAAATGTCCCACGGTTTCTTAAGATGGCATGCTTGCAAAGAGCTGCTGATTGATAGTCTAGATTGATAGTCTAGAACTATTTTTAATATTTTGTGTCCTTAAGCCTCCTACGATAGAAGGCACTTAGATTTTCTTATTCCTTCACAATTAAGATGACAAAAAAATAAATCCACCTTCTGAACAAATCAGATCAGCATTTCAGGGACTTTTATGAATAAAGTTTCCAATGACTTCTTGTGAAGAAATATTCAGAATAACACTATTTTTTTCACTGTAACCCTTACCCATATAAGAACACAAATTTGAATACAAATTAAAAAAAAAAAAAGAGATTTAAAAAAATAAAACAAACAGAAATCCTGGTTGTTATTGAACTGTTTATGAAATCTCTGACAGGAAAACATTAAAAAAAGACAGTTTCTTCATACATATAGGGCTTAAATAGAGAATGTTCTTTTTCTTTCACAAAGGAAAATCTTACATTCCTTTTTTGTATTCACCTAAGGGGGTATTGATCAGTGCCTCTAGAAAGTTTATTTAAAATAAAACATAGTTGGCTTGGCACATGTTCACTAAGCCAAGAAAAATGTGCCTAGTACATTTGATATCTTAACCTTCATGCTACTCATTAAGATAAGTTAAATATTCTTGTCTGCACATAAGATCTGGCAATGACCCATAAAACTGAGGTTAATTAGTTTGCCTCTGCAGCAGCCCTCCTCCATTAATACTGAAGTGTGTGATGAGCCTTTGTTGGAATCACAACTGAAGGTTCATATACAGCTCGTGTCACTACTCTGCATGATGTATATTGTGCTAAGGAGGAGCACTGCAAGAAAAACAGCATTTAGGTGTGTATGTGTGTATCTACATATATATTTTTGAGGCATTTCAGTTACCATCAATTCTCTGTTACTGAAACATGCAAATGGCAGAAAAGTTTTCCCTTTAGGGGTGTCAGATGTCCCTTGCCATGCCAAGCTGCTCTTACATCACACTGACAAGATGGTGGTGATGCTGAACCAGGCTTCTTCTCCAAACTGGGAACTGAGGTGAGCTCTAGTGTGGATCATTTCCATTCTTTCTTTTCCTAGAACTGATTCTAGTGTTCTCTGGACCAAGATATGTCCTTTTTCACAGGTCTTTCATATCACTTTTCTTCAATCCAACAGTTAAGAAGGATTTTGAGTTATTCAGGAATGAATGTCAGGTCACTCTTCCCTTGATATAAAGATCATTGCCATATAATTCCCCTTCAAGCTACTTAAATACTATCGTTTCTATTTCACAGATTTAGATACTGTGGCACAGAATAGCATAAATGTGTGGAGGTTATGTTCAAAAAAGCAGTAGCTAATCCCAGGGAAAAAAAAAAAAAGGCTTTTTTTTTTTGGTCCTCTCTACCTTACTCTTTACATGATCAAAGAGCCCTCACATTTCTAGTCAGACTCTCTATGAAAGCATTTTCAGAGCTGGAGGGAAACATGAGAAAAAAAATTCCTTCTCTTACAGAGAAAGGCCTAATAAAGAAGTGTTATGAACTCTAGGGTGAAGGAAACTCCTTTACCCAGCTCTTTTGAAAGCTTACTAGTTGAGCAGTGGGCTAAGTGGAGACAATTCAAAGCAGCAGTAGTAAGTGGTTTGAAAAGGAACAGACATATATTTGTTCAAGAGAAAAGACATAGAAGAAAGAAAATAGCAACAAAAGAATGCTAGAAAAGAGCTGGTGAAATATTCTTCTAATAACCATTCATGACATGAATCAACCCTAGTCTTTAAGATGGAACAGTCACAGTTTAGAGTAAATACATTTTTAAAAAGTATCTTTAACCTAAAGAATAACCATGGTAAGGGAAAAAGACCAGTAGAAATCACTAAATGTAACAAATTGATGGTAGAATTCAGGTCTGCATTCAGACACCTGAGTTTTGTGACTCCAAGATAGTTATGCCCAAACTTTCATTTCATCCAATGAATCTGGAGAGATAATCAACTAAATTACTCCTTCACTGTCACTATGGGTCTCTTTGAGTTCTGTTGCCTGTTTTGATTAGATCTCAGTCCATGGTAGTAGGAGCTCATAGATGTAAAGCGTGTGTAGTCACTTAGTTTAGGAGGTGTCAAATATGGAGCTGACTCCTACCCAGTCTACTCCTTCAGGAAATGTTAGCAACATTGAAACAAATCATGTGATGATAAGTAAATTAACTTCATGAGTCTACCATATCTACTTAAAGTCCCAAGACTGTAATCTAACACTGATATTGCCTCTAAGGCCCATTTACTGTTTTAGGCATCTGCAATAGTCATTCTTTGTTGGACAGCTGTGCTGTGGTCTGCATGCACTGATCCCTTGGGTCACTTGTACTAAAATCAGGGGGTACCAGTGCTTACAACTGCACAGATGTAGGTAGGCACATCCATGCAGAAGTAGGATACATCCCTGACGAATAAATAATGCCCTTTGGAGCAGTTTTTGAGAAGAGTCAATTAACCAGTGCACAAGGCCTCAGTCTTGTGAATAAAAACCGGAGACCTTTCCACTCAGGCTGATCAAAGATACCAAAACACCAACAAGCACAAAACATCGACAAGCAATTTGGGATCTGGAGGAAGTTGCTAAGAGGAAGGTCAAACTCCACAAGGTTTCTCTGCAGGTCATGTGAGGGCATCACCCCTGCAGGTTCTGCTGTCTGCATGAGCTCCATGCATCAGCTCCACTTAGAGGGTATAG